GAGTCTCATGTGTAGTCTCAGCCGGCCTGGAACTCACAGAGATCCTCCTGCCTCTGCCTCCCGAGGGCTGGAATGACTGCACCGCCACACCCAGCTCTGGCTTTGTGTGGTAGTTCATTCCAGAAAACTCTTTAAACACAACTTCCCAGGCTAGGCCAACATCTCTGCCGACACGGCATGGCCGCGGGCCTGACCACAGGCCACATGGCCACCTTTTTCTGGAGGCCTGTGCAGGTCTCGGCTTCCTCTCAGCCTGAGGCTCATGGATGGAAATGGCTCCCCGCCACTTAGGGAAAACTGGTAACCGGTGACTGTGGCTGGGGCCCAGCCAGAAAGGAAGTGCCTGAGTGACTCTAAATTCAGGTTTAGGGAAATCAACCAAGGGCAAGAGGACTAGGTACTGGGGCAGAGGGGGTGAGATACATTGTCTCCCGTCCAAGTACTAACCAGGCCGGACCCTGCTTAGCTTCCGAGATCAGATGAGATCGGGCGCATTCAGGGTGGTGTGGCTGTAGACAAGATACACTGTCCACTCCGTGGTCAGCACAGTTATTTATTTACTTATTTATTTATTGTCTGTTTGAGACAGGGTGTTGCTCATCAGTCCAGGCTGGCCTTGAGCTCACTGTGTAGCCCAGGCTGATCTCAAACTCCCAACGATCCTCCTGCCTCAGCCCCCCGAGTGCTGGGATGACGAGTGGGCGCTGCCACGCCCGGCTCGCACCTCATTTTCCAGCAAGCTTGTGTGTGTGTTTAGTCCGAGGCCGCACTTTATTTTTTAACGCATCTGTGGCTGTGAACAGCACTGTTTGCCCCTCGGTTGTATTTATTTATTGGGCCAAATCACCCCACAATTCCTCCGGAGTCTCGTGTAATCGGATTTGGTTTTTAACATGCTTTTAAAGTAGGGAGATAAACAGAATCGAGGCCTGCACAGGGGACCAGTGCGGGCTGGGCCTTGGCCCCACAGCTGTAAAGTAATAGCCCCATTAGAGTGGGGGCGCGGGGACGTTTTAAAGTCCCTGCTCGTTTATATCCCCCGGCCGAGGGCCTCTGCCGGCAGCTTGGGCAGCTCGGTAAAAGCTTTTCCGGCAGCCATTTAACCCCCATTTATGAAGAAATAAAGCAGAACTGACGCTGAGCGGGGCCCGCGGGGGGGACCTTTCGGTTCCGTAAAAGCCCTCTGCCTGCCATTTGCCGGGCTGCCCTGTCACTTTGGGCAGGGCCGCGGCTGATAAAGATAAAGCTTTATGGCCGCAATATTTGCTACTCACAGCAACCTAATGCAACATTTTCATTTCTGGGCAATTAATGTTAATGTCCGCTACGAAAATTGTCATTAAATACCATTTTAAAATCCATTCAATTTGCATATGCACAGCCCATCCACCATCAGGAAAATGTAGCCGGGTTCATCACATCCAGCCCAGAACTGTGGCCTGGGCTTTCACGGCAGCCGAAGATTCTGCACGAAAGCTGGGCGGCCGTGACTATGTCACTTGGCCCCACTGGGCCCCACTGCCTGCAGCCCCAGGACCAGAACAGTCGGGGTTTGCACCGCATGTCCCTGCGGAGAGGCGGGGTGCACAAGAAAGAAGGAGCCCCTGAAGCCCGAGTCTAGACCAGGCTCAGTTACAGCCCGCTAGAGCCCCTGGCTGACACCCACCTCCTGTTCTAAACCTTCATCAATCAGCACAGCGACCCCTGATGACCAGCCTGCACTGACATGACCGGAAACTGTGAGCTCACAGGGTGAAGAATCTGGGCCAAGCCCACCGGGGACAGGGGGGTGGACGTCTGCCTCTTTGTCCTGCCCACTTCCTTCCTGCCCGGATTTTAATGACGACGACACAAAACTGGCCCGAAAGGTTAAAGCCAAGATGGCCCAACAGGACATCCCCTGAGTGTCACAGAATGCCAGCTTACAGGTGTGACACCCTAGTCACACTCCCAGGAGGAAACAGAAGCTGGGGGCAGAGACTGGGTGACAAAGGCGGAGCTAGGGCCTCCGGCTGACCGCCTCTGGGCCGCAGTCAGACGAGGCCCTGGGCGATCCTGAGTCACCAGCATGGACCCATCATGTGACTGGGTGTGGAAGGTGGGCACAGTGGTCAGGGACACTTCCAGGAGGGCTGGCTCAGGGTCATTTCAAAGGCAGGAGAAGACCACGTACAACGCTTGGTTAATCCTGCCCGGAAGTGAGTGTCCGGTTAGTCTTCAATGCATGAGGCCTCAGGGATGGGAAAGAGACTGAGGAGAGGACGTTGGAGTGACCTTCAGAGAATGGGAGGGTCCTCCCTGGCAGGACAGTGACCAGACAGTGTCCAGCAGTGCGGTGGTGTGTGCCCGGGAAAGAGGGTGCTGGCCCTCAAGTCACACCTAGGGTCCCCATGGGCCCAGCAGGCCCCTGGCTTCAGGGTCCCTAGAGCAGGGACGGGAACAGACATTTGCATCCTCTGTGCAGAGCAGCAAAACTGACAAGCAAAAGTGGAAAGGGCCCAGCTGTGCACCCACGGTGACAGGTCAGGGAAAAGCGGTCCAGACACCACAGACACGCCTCGGCCGTAGAAAGGGGTGCAGTGCAGGCCCCGCTATGACCCAGGTGTGGTTACAGACATAAGCCTGGCACCCACGGGCAAACGCGGCCAGCTGCATGCACTGGAGGTCCCGAGATGGGTCAGAGTCACAGGCACAGGAGGCAGAAGGCCCGGTGCTCACCAAGCGCGTCCTGGGGTCGGAGTTTAGGGCCGTCAAACGGAGAGCGTGGCCTGGACTGGTGGTGCTGATGTCCACTGCACTGTCCTCAAGAACACGAGTGAGATGACCGGCCCATGTCACACGTTTTACCACAATAAAAACAGAACACGGTAAAACAAAAAACAAGAGAACAACTTAAAAAAAAGGACGGGAACATAGTGAAAGGGAGCCAGAAGAAGACTGGGGATTCGACGGCTCTGAAGAGGGCACAGCCAGGTGTGGCCCCCGATGGACACAGACAGCAGGCCGAGCCCAGTGCAGCAGGGAGCCCGGGCCAGCCGCTGCTGTCTGGAAGCAGTGCTCGCTTTGCTCCGTCAGTGGGATGCGCACGTCTGCAATAACGATCCGTTTGCACCTGGTATATGGAGCCTGCGAATTCTCCCAGGGGCCCTGGGCTCCTCCCCGTAGGGCAGAGCCTCGGTCCCCACGTCTTTTCCACCACCCGACCGAGTGGATGGAGGGAAACATTTCTCCCTGACTCCCAGGGTGCCATGTGATGAGGCCCAGCCAATTGGGGCATCGCATCCCGACTCCCCACCCCAGCAAAGGGTGCAGAGGCAGATGTGGAACCCCGACCTGGCAGCCACAGTGCCCGGCTCAGGGACAAACCCGTGACCTGCCAGACCAAAAGATGTGGATCTTCAGGCTTTTGTGCTTTCTAAATCATTCCTGCAGGGTTTACTAAGAGAGCAGGGTTAAGAACACGACCACTCCTGGCCAGGTAGCTGGCAAGGACAAAGCCTGCTGGAGACCAGAGCCCACACCAGGAGGCACAGCTGCCATAGGAGGGAGACCAAGTGCTGGCCACCTCGCCCCCTGCGGGGCCTTCGTCCGCCTGAAGCTCCACCCTGGGCTTTTCAATCTCACACGCTCATAAATTCTCTGTAAAAAGTCAAGGCAGTTTGGGATTTGAGTCTATGCAACTGCATTCTCTTTTGACAGAATGGCACGCATGCTAGGATCGGGTCATGGGTCAGTTGTTGGGGAAGCACAGGAATCGGATACCCTGATTGGTCAGGTCTGATCACATGACCCTCCCTGGATCAAAGGTGAAGCCGGTTCCCACAATCCACATGGGCTGAGGGGGGAAAGATGCAGAGATAAGTTTGGTTCCCAGCAGGGAGGATCCGGTGGTGGGCAGGCCGGGGGACAGACAGGACAAGGTCCCTCGCTGTGGGGCTGTTAGCCACGGCTGCACAGGGAATAATGTGATTTAGCAGGTGCATTAGGGAGGTGTCTGACAGTGATGTGGGTGGTGACTCTGTGGGGCCACTTCTGGAAGCTGGAGGAGCAATTCAGGGTGCCTCCTTCTGCCGTCCAAGCGGACAATGAGGGGCCTGACTGGGGGTGCAGGACTCTGAAAGCCCCTCTCTATGGTCACTGCCCGCCCCCATGTTTCTGCCTCGTGCTGTGTGGGATGCGGGCTCCCCCCCCCTCCCCGGCCTAGGAGCTGATCTGAGACTCCCGGCCCGCGCCAGCCCTGCTGGGGTGCTTGTAGCATCATTGTTGGGGCTCAAGGACCGCGGGAACTTGCAGCTGATCTGCTGGACCGCTGAGCAAAGTACACTGGTTCTTCTAGGGAAGCCCAGGGGCTTCCAGGGGTGCCAGATACACCCCCTATCTTTATCTGATTGGTCATCACAGGGACATTTCCATTTGTAAAATTTGGTTAAGCTGAACACTCGGGCATTGGGTCCATCACTTGTTCAAATTTAATAAAATAATAAAACAGGATTTAAAAAATCTCACCCTCTGGGGTATTCAGGGTGCATATCATTTTAACCCTGACAGCTCCACATTTATGGGGTGCTGTACCCCAGCCACTCCACTAAGCCACTGCTCCACAGAAACCTCAGAGCCACAGTGGGAAGCAGGTGCTACTGTGCCCCATTCTACAGGTGCAGACACTGAGGCGAGTGTCCCCCAGCCGCTTGTCCGGGTGTGAGCCAGGGCTCCAGAGCCTGTGTCACGGCCTCACCTGCCTGGGGTAACCTTAGGGTCCTCGGCTCCCTCGCTGAGGGCGGACAGGGTCCCTGCCAGTGCGGTCCATACTTATGCTTTGCTGCCAGGCACGCACTCAGCTCAGCAGGAATCAAGATTCAGCCACGGAAGTCACGGTACGGTTTGTGGGGTGCGGGGACAGCTAGCCTCAGAGGATGCTCTGCTGCCCGCCCCCATCTGACCCGGCTCCCCAGCAGCCAGCCCCCGACTCGCCCTCCCCGGCCCCGGTGCCACCCTCTCACCGTGCCCGGATCCCGAAGGTCATGTTGGGGGGGAGGGCAGGCGGCTCTTTCTTCTGGCGTCGGTCATCCTGGTTGCTGATACGGATGTCATTGAGCCTGCGGTAGAGGACGTTCTCCCGAGCTGTCACCAGGCCGGCCTTCACGGCCCCTCGGTTCATGGCGATGTAATTCCGGGTCAGCTCCTGGGGGCAGGTGGGCTGCTGCTTGTACACCTGCCAGTGCCCGATGGCTGAGGGCGGGAGACAGAGCCACGGGCGGTGTCAGTGGGGAGCAGAGCACCTTGGACCACAGGAGTGGGGCCCCAGGGTCCCAGCCTGCTGGGTGTCAGCCCGCCTGGCCCTGGGGGGCCTATGGTGGCTCACACCGGAGGGATCAGGATTCTCAGAGAACCCAAGGGAGCCTGCACGTCCCGCATGGATCTGGGGTGCCTGCCCTCGGCCATCAGAGCCCTGGTTCCTGAGCCTTCCTGTGCCGGCAGCTGGCACTGCCCAGAGCACAGAGCACACACCCTTCCCGGGGTGCCCTTGCTCCTTCCTTGCACCCCAACCTGGACCCTATTGGTCCTCCCCATCTTGGCCAAGCGCTGGATTCCACCACTCAGCTGCCCAGACATGGGGCCCCCCGGGACTGTGCTGCAAGGTAGGCCCCTTGGGTTTTCTCCAAATGGTCAGCTGCTGGCCACAGCCCTAGGAGGCGGCCCGAGGCACCCCCACTCACTCCTGAGCCCCCTCGGGCTCCTGTCCACTGCTCACCTTCCGGGACCCCTCCATCCAGTCCCCGGATGTAGAGGCCGTAGTTGAAATCAAGGCCAGGAAGGCTGCAGCTCCTCTCCCGGGGTTTGCCGAGCTCTGCCTGCCGGAGAGAAGAGCACCAAGGCGAGGCTGTAGCCTCAGCCCTCCGACACCGCGGCAGGGGCCAGGAGAGGTGCCCACTGCAGGTGCACAGAGGCAGCAGCACCTGACTCCTGCCCGGCTCGTCCTCCCGCAGGGACACCCCAGCCCTCATCGCCGGCACAGAGGCAGTCAGTTTCTCTTGTTTAAAGCCTTACTTTGGGGTGGGGACACAGTGACAGCACCCTCTTGGCACCTGGACTGCAGTCCTGTCCACCGGGTCTCTGGCTGACCCTTCCTCAAGCCATGGGAGGAAACGGCTGTTTCGTGGATTCGGGGTGATGCCCCAGGGACGGCTGAGCCACCATGAGCCCAGATCTTGGAGGGCTGCGCCCCGGGTGCTGACAGCATCATCCACTGAACACTTGTGAGCCCCACTTTCAGACCCAGCATCCAGTTTTGCTCTCCTCTCCCCTTCAGTCTCTGCCCCCTGAGACGCAGAGAAAGATGGAGCCCAGAGCTGGGATTCGGACCCTGCCCTCTCTGCAGCGCCCGCTCGCTTGCTTGGACTAAATAAACCCCTGTGAGCCTCAGGTTTCCGTGGCTCCCAGCTGCCACAAACCCACGGACAGAGCCATGAAGGGCGGGGTGCCGGGACCCAGCCCAGCTTGGGGTGCAGGAGTGGTCCCCCAGGACGGCCCCTCCAGCCCCACCAAAGCCCATGCCAGGGGCTGGCGGACTCCAGCTGCACATTTGCCATCTCATCCTCTCCCCTGCGGTGGCTACAGACAGGTCAGTGCTGCCCAGAGTCCAGCCCCGCCCCCTGCAGCTCCGCCTCCCCTCCCCGACCCTGCATGACCCTGCTGACCTGCTGGCCAGCCTGCCTACTCTGTGTCCACTGCAGCACCCAGGGCGTCCCAGCCTCAGCTTCCCAGCATGCCCTGTGCCTGAGCCTGCCCCTCCCCTACTCCTCAATTTTTCTTCAAGCCACGCCTCTTCCTGGAAGTCCTCTGGGTGCCTCTGTCGTCTGGGGCTCACACGGTCACACCCTCCTCTGGACACCAGCCCTTCTTTCACTGCTCCCTTCTTTTGGGGCTTAGAAATTTAGGGACTGGCCACATTTCCACGATGCCCACCATGCTAGGCCACCTTGCTCAGGTTATGGATTTCTACACAGCCGGAGCCACGGCTTCCACAGCAGGTATACCCTGAAAACCTCCTCTGGGAAGGCTGCTTGGATTGGCGTGGGTGTGTCATCGTGTGTGGTGCCACCTTTGAAATTCATGGGGACATGGAGATTTGTGGTTCTGGGGGCCTGGGCAGGAGAAGGAGTGGAAGGCCAGGGGGACAGGAGCAGGGTTGTGTCTGCAGGAGGCAGTGATACAATTGTCCACAAGTGATTGTGAGCCGGGCGGGCTAGTGACACAGGCTTGTAATCCCAGCACTCTGGGAGGCTGAGGCAGGAGGAGCACAAGTTCAAGCCCAGCCTGGGTAGTTTAAGCAATTTAGTGAGCCCTGACTCAAAATATAAAACAAAAAGGGCTGGGAATGTTCTGTGGAAAGGCCCTGGGTTACATTCCAGTACAAACAAACAAACAAAAAATCTCAACTGTGGTGACAGTTGTACAACTCTGTGAGGCCCATTAAACTGTTTGCTCTCAATGAGTGAACTGGATGGTGTGTGAATTACATCTTAAACCCGCTGGAAAATAACACTAGCACAGTCAGTTATGGTTGATGATCAACTTAACGTCTGTCCTGAGGAGAGTGTGTGTTCCATGGGAACAGGGGTCTGGTCTTCATTACCTTTTTTGTAGTACAGGGGACAGAACGCAGGAATGCGCTTACCACTGAGCTACTCCCCCAGACCTCCTTAATTTTCATTTTGAGCCCGAGTCTAGCTCAGCTGCCCGAATTGGCTTTGAACTTCAGATATGCCTGTCTTAGCCTCTGAGTAGCTAGGATTACAATAGATGAACACCTCCCTGCGAGGCTATTTATTAATTTTTAAAGTTAACTTTCTAAAAATTGATTTTATACTTGAGAGCAGTCAGGTTCACAGAAAATTGAGCGGAAGGCATACAGATTTCAAACACCCATCGGTCTTTATTTTACACTTCTATTCCTGGAGCTCAAGTAGAACAGAGGTTAGTAAACAGGGACAGAGGGAAAGAAGGAAGGAAGGAAGGAAGGAGAAAGGAAAGAGAGGAAGAAGTAGAGATGGAAGAAGGAAGCACGGAGAAGGGAAGAAGGAAGTCAAGCGGGCGGCCTCTCTCTCTTAGCTCAGGCTCCTGGAGCCCTGTACCACACACTGGAGGGCTTACACAGTCTCCATCGCATCTGACAGCCCTGCAGCCTGGGCCCCAGCAGACCCGGTGTCGGGGAGAATCTGCTTTCAGTTGGCAGATAGAAAGAAGGAAAAATAAATGACCCAGCTCATCTGCTGCTCAGAAGGGCACTAATCCCATGGCAGGGGCTCCATCCTCCTGCAGCAGCCCCTCCAGGCCCTGTCTCCTAACACCCCCACTGGGATGAGGACACATCATGCAGCCCCGAAGGCATGCATGTGGAGACTCTGGGTCCTCCACACTTGGGCTAATCCTCTCTCAATCTTTTCTCTCCTCTCTGGGGCCATAGCAGGTGCAAGGGTCTCTGCTGGGTGCTTTGTTTCTCTTCCTGGAGCTGCAGGCAGCGCTCTGGCCTCGTGTTTGTTTATGGAGATGATCCAGCCTCTCTAGCAACTGCTGGGGAAGTTAATTAAAATGTGACTTCTCCGGGAGAGGCTCTGCCTCCTTGGGGTGGCTGCAGGTGGGCAGACTTCCAGCTGGCAGAGGGATGACAGACAGACTCGGAGCTGGCTGCCACCCCCGGAAGGAGGGGACGGGGAGCAGGCAAGAACCTTGATCTCTGTGCTCTTTAGACTGCTGAGGAGGGCTGTGAAGACTCACCCCTGGAGGAGCTTCCTCAGGCCTCCCCTCCGTAAACAGGCTGGGGTTCTCAGGGGAACAGAAGGACAACAGTGCTCGCTCTCATAACATTCACTGTTCTGCCAAAAGATAATCAACTGATGCCAGTGAAGGGCACCAGGGGACATGAGGAGGAAGGCCCAGAGCACCCGAGCTCTAACATCTGAGCCCACACACTGAACAAGAGAAGATATTCCCAACGCATGCATCTGACAAAAAGACTTGCAGACATCGTATGTAAAGAGCAGCTGTAAACCAACAAGAAAGGGCAGATTCTTCTCCAGAAACACGAGCAAGAGTCGGACAGCTGCTTTATTCAAAGGACGCCCCGTGGCCAAAACCAGTGCATCAAGGTGCCCGACCTCTGGGAAACAAACTCAGAGCTCACTCCTCTCGGGGAAGGTTTGGAGCAATCTGGGTACACATGGCCGTAGGAGCTCCCAGACACCAGCAGATGGGACGGTGCTCGCCATCCGGAAACCACTTTCTCATCACAGGACACCACAGCTGACGCCCACAACTTGAAGGAGGGGAGGTTTCATTTTTTTTTTTGGAACTGAGGATTGAACTCAAGACCTTGCAATAGCCAGGCAGGCACTTACACTGCTGAGCTAAATCCCAGAGAGGTTTACCTTGGTTGCAGTGCATAGATATCAGAAAAGGCTGGGGAAGGGTCTGCCTTGGGGGAGCACTGTTCAAAGCAGGGTGGCCGGAAGCATGGGGAGGGGCGGGGCTAATGCAGCCAGGCCCCGCCCCGGTAACCCACCTCCAGACAGGCCATGCCCCCATGCCAAGTCAAATCCCATCACCTCCCAGAGCCCCGCCTGTGAGCGCAGTAGGCTGGGGGTCAGGGTTCAGCATGAGCCGCCATAGCCCCACACCGAGGACAGTCTGGCAGGGGCACTGTCTGACAGCCAGACAAGTGGGAGGGTGTGGGAGAGTGGCTTCTTGGGAAAACCCCCTATTCCTGAGGCCTAGATTTTGCCAGGATTTGAGGATAGGGGCCAGCAAAAGGAAGATACAAGTCTTAGACTGACATCTGGGAGGGAAGCGACCTGGAGAAGGGGGAGACAGGAGCCCAGGGTGCACAGAGAGGCTTCCTGGGAGACTGTAGGGGACGGCGGGTCTCTGCGTGTCTAGGGGATCAGTGACGCCAGGTAGGCCTGACACACGGGTTGTCAGTGAGCTCCTGACCCTGAACTTCTAGACAAGGGCCAGCAGCTCATGCCAGCTGTCTGAGATCAGCGACCACCAACAAGTAAGAGGAACTCAAGGCCATTGGGTTTCCTTGGCAAGCCATCTACCAAACAGAGGGGACTTAGTCACAGATCTCAACCATCCAGAGCCCCAGACAGACTGTCCATCCACACATGACAGGATGCAGATACAATAGGGATCTCCCAGCCAGCACTTGGGCTGGGCTGTGCAAAGGTCCTGGGGCAGATGGCATTCAGGTGCTTGGAGTCAAGAGAAGCCTGCATGCTCCCCATAGGAATTCCCAAGAGCCAGCATGCTGTCTTTACTGCATCAAGTGACAAAGAAAGAGAATGGCGTTTTCTGTGTCCCTCCCACATGTAGGACAGCTGGTGCCTGGGGACTTCCCTTAGCAGCCCTCTTCTCGGAGAGCTAAGCATGTGGCAAGGGTCCTCTGTGCTCCTCCAGCCACTTGTGAGGAGGGTTTCCCATTTTATGGATGGGGAAACTGAGGCTCACCAAGGTTCACAGCTGCTCAGAGCCATCCAGGCAGCAAAAGGACATGCTGGGATTCAGTGGCCTCCTGAGGCCTCAGCCCTCTTCGAGGAACCTGCCTTGGACCCTCCCCTCTCGCCGTGACTCTGAGGGAGGCCGCCTTGTCCCTACCGCAGCTGGGAAAACCAAGGACACCCGGCCCCCCTCGGCCTCCAAGTCCTTGAATTTTGCATGTCTCCCAGGAGATCACCGTGGTCATAGCCAGCAGGGAGCTATGAAAAGAGCCTCTTAGAGTGGCTCCCCACCGCTGCCCACCCTGGAAACCCTTGCCCCTGCCCCCCAGGGTCAGAATCTGGAGGTGGGTGCA